CTTTGGTTTTGGGGTGTGTTCCAGTATAACCCAGGGGCCGAGTAACTCCCTTTGATTGTGGTTGTTAGTTATAGTAGATATCTATCAAACTATAGAGAGTTCGGTATTTTTCTTAAAATTGAGTGGCTGTCACGATAGAGTGAAAATATGGGTGCACCAAAACCGGCTTGTGTGTGTATGTTTGAGCGCGGTGTGGGTTGTACTGTTGTGTTTTGGTTTTTTTGAGGGGTGTGTGGTGGTACAGTGTAGTGGCGTAGATGGTGGCATGCGTGGACAGTAGGGTGGGTTGTGGGGATGTTTTGTTTTTCAGGTCTTTGGAGTTTTGTTTTGGGTTTTGGTGTGTTTTTGTTTGGCAGTTTGTTTGTGGTGTCCTCATGCTGTAACTTTTAATTTATCGTTTGTTTGTTTGTAAGATAAGGGTTGTTGGTTTATTCTTTTGGCAGGATAGGTAATGTTATTTGGCCGTGTCATTGTGAGCGGTACCCGAGGAGATGTTGGTTTAAGTTTGGGGGGGGGCGGGGGGGTGTATTTATCCAGTCTCTTGATTTAGGTGGTTAGCGGTGAGGTTATGGAGTAGGGATGCGCGGTTTGATTCTCTGAAATTGTTGATCTTATTGCGATCATCTAGTGAGTAATTGATTGCGGTGATGGTGGAGGGGTTGGTGGATTCGGTAGAAAGTGGTTTATTGGTTAAGTTATGTCATAGGTGATGGGCATAGGTTATTTCTGTGAGTTGATGTTGTTGTTGTGGGTTCTGGCATGCTGTACTGGCTGTTTTTACTTTGTCTCATTATTATGGCTGCAGCAGGTGAGTGAAGGTTGATAAGGTTGTAATTGTTTGATATTTATTTACAGTCTGCCCGCATGAACACAAGTTGTGCCATGTCTTCAGTAACTATGCCAGTGCTGCTTGTGCCTCCTGTCATTGCATAATTTGTGATCGTTCTCCTGTGTAAAAATTGGAGGCCGTTTGGGGCGCTCCTAGAGGATGATGGTGAGGTTTCTCATTCTGCTAACCGCGCTGCTGCGTTTCCTCTTTCCTTGTTCTTCCTTGTCTCGGCCATCGTGGCTCCGTCGCGCTTCCTGTCATCTGCCTGTGGGCGTGTGTAGCGCTAGAGGTGTCTCGGGAGGATAGGAAGTCGAGGAGGGGAAGGGCGGAGAGTTGGGAGTTCGGAGAAATCGAGAAAGGGCCCCGGACTTGTAGCGCTGGAGCAGCGGAGGAGTGGAAGAGTATTGCGAGTGTGTGAGCGATCCTGATGTCCGAGCGTGCTGGCTTGTGTTCGCAGGGGGGTTTTGTCTCTGGTTATCGAGGAGCATCATATGATCCAGCGTAGATTTGTGTGAGATGCGCGTCGTACGTTAGTTTTCATGTGGAGCGTTCGCACGTCGAACTTTGCAATCACTTTTAAACTATTATTTGTGTGGTGCAGCTTATTATGGTCGCTTGTTTCTAATCTTTGGTTTTAAATTTGGCGTGAATTATTTAACGAGCTTAGAGGGGCTACAGTTTAATTTGAGCATTTGATCACAATGGTCTAGTTATATGTAATACCATTTTTGTTGTGTGAGCTCATATATCGTTGGAGATGCTTTGGTCTTTCATTTCACTTTGAATTAAAACATTGTAATGTATATGGGTGTAATGTATGTGGTGTGCAGAGTTTGTGTATTGTTTTTTGGGCGTGGTTTTGTGATAGACTTGGACTCAGATATTAAGATGGAATATGTAGATATTCGGGAGCGGCGAGTGCAAGCTCAGGCTTTTTGGTAATTCGGAAGAGGACAGGGACACCGGCATTGAGACGAAAGTGTGGAAAGCAGGGAGGAACTGGGCAGGTAGCAGTCACACCAAAAGAATGTCAGGCTTAATAACCCATGATCTTATCTATCTATCACAATCTTGTATATTCTGGTCTTAGGGATTTGGTCATCTAGCCTATGCTACGGGGTTTTGGTCTAATAACTTAGTCCCATCTTATTACAATATATGGTTTTGTAGTCTATTTATGGAGTGCATATTTTTAACAACATGATCATTGTTTTTATTTTATTTTTTTTTTTGCTGAGTTATGATGTCTATATATATCATATCTAAATTAGTTTATGTTTATTATTGACTGACCAATTTGGCTTACATCTTTGTTGTCTGCTTTGTGTGAGGACAATAAAAGAACTATGTATTTTTTAAAACAATGTTGTGATGATCAGAGAAGGCGAAATGTTTGCTGAATGTGCTTTAATTGCAGCGGCAGGTGAGCGACAGGTGAAGGAGCAAAAAGTGAACAACGAGGGAGAGATTGAACAAAGAGAAAGAGTAGAGGACAGAGAGAGTAATGAACAGGAAGAAGACAGAGAGACTCAAGAAGATGGAAGAGAGGCTGCAGGTTATGGAAAGGAGAGAGACATGGAAAATGAATGTTGACAATGTTTTGTGATCATTTTAGCCTCTTCTGCATGTCCAGATCATTAATAGTAACAATCAACTGATTCTTATGCATTACACTTCCAAAAATAATTTATGCTGACATTGTCAGCCCACTGACATGGTTTGAAATCAATATATTATCCAATGTGTGACCCCCCACAGGACTTAAAAAGCACCTAACTAGATCATGAAAATCCAAAAAATCTTGGGGGGTAATCCCCGAACCCCCCTAACATATTTGGACCTCGGTATTTAGGAAATCCTGGATACGGCCCTGTGTATATCATATTATTTTCGATGGTTTCACTGTATAATCAGTATAACAGATGAACAGATCGCCACTGGGCTTTCATCTCAACACACAGCCACGTAATGATAACAAAACAAAGGTCGGGGTCATTGGTCAAGCAACATACCAATCAGAGAGCAGTAGTGAGCACACCTCAGGCTGTGTTTTATATTTGTATTCTTTATTTCTGATTTATTTCACACAAAAGACTTTTAGTGGAAACGTTTTCACTTATATGATATAAAAAAAAAACCGGCAAAGTGGCAAGGCTTGCCCGCCCTGCGTTTGGGGGGCACAATGACTCATTTGGGGGGGCATTGCCCGCGAATGACCCGTGACGCCAAAACAAAACATTTACAATAGGATAGCCATTTTGCTATATTATACATTATCAATATGTCAGCTACTGAAACAATGTATTTAAGATGCTTAATTATTAAATAAGTACAGGTTGGAAAATGTATTTAAAATAACTCGACTGTTACAACTGTCCTTGTGTACAGGGACAGTTGTAGCACATGCCAGGCACGGTTGTAAAATGTTAATAACGGTTACCTTTTTTCACTACACACTACATGACAACAAATAGGGAAAGCTGTCAAATTCTAAGGCAACAAGATTTGAATGGGGTTTCACACATCCTCCAACAAACAATGAACAATGAACAGGATAACAGATAACATACACAGCATCATCCTCTGTGAAGGATTAAACTGTTCTCTGAGAGGTGCTTCTACCTTAATTATGTAGACCTACCTCCTTTGAGCTGAGACCATAATATAAATCAGCTGCCTCCATCAGATAGTCTCTCAAAAGCATCTCCTGCTCTGTTGAGAACACCTCCTTTGGTGTCCAGTAGCCTCCTCTTGGGGGTGTTTGTGATCCCTGACTCTCCAACCTCAGCCTCTTTGTATGGAACCGGTACAGGGTGACATGGCATATATCCAGGGATTTTGCCACTTCCCTGAATGATTTGCCCTTCTCAACTTCATTTGAGGAAACGCAGCAGAGCAAGTGGCACTCCCCTGTCTGTCTTCCTCTTTCTGACATTTGGCATACTGTAAACACACACACACACACACACACAAGATGTAGTAATAGAGAATAGTGATAAGATATTAAGTAAGAGAAAATAAAATTAAGTCCATAACATGGAATTCTCTTAACTTCCCGAACGAGAGACATTTGTGGTCTATCTTATGCTAACCTCTTCCATTCGCCTATACATTCCTATTCAATAAGACATAAATAATAGTTAATAGCTAATAAATAAAAAGAAAGGTTACTTAATTTAGTCTGTTTATTACCATATACACTCTTTCATCTTACACGCTCTAACCGAAACGTCCTATTATATCTTGATAGACTTAATGTCGAAAACAATAAACAAACTAATATTGACATATAGTGTACCTATTTCCAAATCAGAACTAGCTTTACATATTCTATATATAAAATTCACCTGGATTGATTGGTGCCTCTGATCATTTACCAACAGATATCGTGGTGATAAACCCTAGAAGATATATTTAGAAGTTTGAGATTACCCGAAGCTAGATGCGTCGCATCGATCGATCAGGTTTGTGTGTGTCGACCAACTACCAATGATCGATCGTCGTTTGCAGTCGATTGGCGATCGATTGTATTTCTGCACTGGACAGTTAAGTAGTCGCTTTCTTACTGCTCGTTTCCACTACTAATATTTACACAAAATAACATAACTCACCATCTTCATTTCTGTACAGATTGTACTAAGATAAACAAACTTGTTGAATGGACTTTCTAGAACGGGTTACTGTTCTGACCAGCGTCCACTATAATGGTAGAGTCCGATTGGACCGTTTAGTCCCTGATTTCGAACCACCTCCTCTCGTCCAATCAGTATTGGTATCACAACTCTTAGCTGTACGTGCTCTTCCCTTCCCTTACCTCGTATGTGCAACCTTTTGAATTTAGAGCGATGTAATGTTTCACAGATATTATTGTCGATGTTCAATTATGAAAGTATATCGCATATGTAAAATATTATACTCATAGTCTAACTGTGTATGTAAAATATTTTATGTGATACGTTATATTTTTTTTCTTCCTTTTAATTGTATTACAAATGTCACGTATATAACCCCCCCGTGAAGTACAAATCTAATAAAGTGATATCTAAGCTCTCTCTTATACCCCACTCTCTCTCTCTCTGTCTGTCTCTACTTGTTGTGTTGTCTGTGTGTATGTAGGTTCAACGTAGTCAATACTCGCGGTATGTGTAACGTTTACTTACTTCCCATCCAAAATACCATATAAAAAATTATGTCCGTTAATATTGAAAAACTGTGTGTAATTGTATGTATCTATTATTATTTTGGTACTAATAATATTTCTTTTCTAATATACTCTTATTTAATCAACAGAACGAGGGGGGCTGCGGGAGTCATTGACCCGGGAACCTGTAGATAGTAGCACATTAAGGGTGGGACTGTTCAGATTTTGGAGAGGCTATGAACACCATCACACACCACACACACACACACACACATCACACACAACACAACCTATCTAACATATCACTTATCATCTTTATCATCTATCTATATCTATCTATCTTATAAACACACATATCTACCACACACCAACCACCGCAACAGACAAAACAGACAAAAATACGCAATCGCACAAGCATCTGTCTCATCGCAACGACAAACGCACGCAACGCAATCTCAACAGCCATTCTCGCTACGCTTAAACCTTCGCCATCATCGAAATTACGGCACACACACACACCTACTCTATCACACANCCCTTAATGGGCAGGCGCCATCTTACCTTAAAGAACTCATTATACCCTACTGTCCTACTAGGGCATTGCGTTCCAAGAATGCAGGGTTGTTGGTTGTTCCTAGAGGAACAACCAACAACCCTGCATTCTTGGAACGCAATGCCCTAGTAGGACAGTAGGGTATAATGAGTTCTTTAAGGTAAGATGGCGCCTGCCCATTAAGGGCTTTGTAGGCGAGAAGAAGAATTTTAAATTCTATCCTGTGTTCTATAGGGAGCCAGTGTAAGGCAGCCAGAACAGGAGTAATGTAGTCCCTTTTCCTAACTCTGGTTAGTACACGAGCTGCAGCATTTTGAATCACGACTGCTGAAGCGACTTGACTGACTTCTTGGTACACCCTGATAATAAGGAGTTACAATAATCCAGCCTTGAAGTAACAAATGCATGGACTAGTTTCTCTGCATCGTTTTGAGGCAAGATATGCCTGATTTTTGCAATGTTACGTAGATGGAAGTAGGCAGTCCTTGAAATTGATTTTATGTGGGTGTTAAAGGATAAATCCTGATCAAATATAACACCAAGATTCCTTACAGTCTCACTGGAGGCCAAATTAATGCCATCCATAGTTAGTATATCTTTAGATAATTTGTTTCGTAGATTCTTCGGGCCAAGTACAATAACTTCAGTTTTGGTCGTGTTTAACATCAAAAAATGTAAGGTCATCCACGTTTTTAAGTCCTTGAGGCAGTCTTGAATTTTATTTAGATGATTAATTTCATCAGGCTTGATTGATAAATATAGTTGAGTATCATCCGCATAACAATGAAAGTTTACAGAATGATTCCTTATAATATTGCCTAACGGAAGCATATATAGTGTGAACATAGTAAAGTAAAGTCCTAATCTGCATTTAAAGGTGAGTATTGACTTAACTTAAATTGTAATGATATATCCAGAAGGCAAAGAGCAGGGTAAAAAGCTTTGATAGTAAAAAGATACTCTATGCACCTATTCTGCAATACAGGCAATCATCGGGCCATCATGTTGGGATGATGCCATAAAAATACAGGGTAACAATAATAGCAGTAGAGTCCTCTCTCGGTTCAATATTAAAAAGAACATTTCAGCATGTAAACAGCACACACATTTGCTCATGTAAAAACAACCACGAATTGTACAAAATATCTCAAATGAAAAATGTTCATTGTCTAAAAGAATCATATTTTCATAGTGGCATCGCTGGTACAAAGAGGATGATTGTTTACTGCCTTCATCTGAGATAAAACATCGTAACAAGCGGCAGGCGGGTTCAGCAGGGTAATTTGTGTGCCTGGCTTTGGTGCAAAACTAGGCTCGAGAGAAAAAAAAACAAAGGCTTCTTGAGAGGCAGGTAATCACAAAGATGCCAGGGAATGAATATCTCAAAGGTCAAGAGAAAAGCAAAATCCAATCTCCTCCTCAGTTTCCTCCCTCTGGCTCAAGCCGCGGCCCCAGATTCGGAGAGTTTTCCTCTTCACTTGGGTCCTCGGTTTGGTAAATCACATTGTCCTGCATTGCTTTCACGTGGCTCGGGGGCCGGATTGGAAGCGGAGGAGCCTGAAACTTCTCGTAAACCCCAACCGGTATGTCATCGTCTGCAGCTATTTTAGAGACCAATGGTTTCTGTGAGTCTGTCTGCCCCGAGAAGGGCGGGTGTGTGTCGAACTCTCCGTAGATGCCCATCTCTGCTCCCTTTCTCAGGAGGTGCGTGTAGACCAGCGTGTCCTCGATGGACGCATACACATGGGACTCGTTGTCTTCTCGTGTTTTTGGGAAGCCGTTTGGTCCTGGCAGGAAGCTAGTGCAGTTTGGATTGTAGATGGATATTTCATGATCCAGCTTCTTTTTCTTCTTCCTGTTTGGCAGGGAAGACATTATGATCAGAACTTTAGAGTTAAATACTGCATCAAACTAACAGCCAACCAAGGGAGACATCTCAAGCAGATTGAAGTAAACATGAAGAACCGCTATTTCTCCATTATATTTATTAAATGCCTTGAGCAATTATAAAGACAACAAAATGTGCTTATTAATTGTGCATTATGACATTTCTAGAAAACAGAATGCAGCAGCACTCACCTAATCACCACACAGACCACTACCAGCACAATGACAAAAATAACCAGCAGGACAGCCACCACACTCAGGATGATAGTCAGCAGCAGGTCTAAATGAGAGAAAACAAATCAGATACAAAAAAGTTTTATTCTAATGCACTCTAAATACAGTATACCCTATGTCCTTGTGATAGAAAATGTGATGTTGCTTATAAAAGAAGACTGATGATGAATCAATATTCATTAACTGGTTGTAGTGATGGCAAATTAGACTAAACTTGCGCTAACATGCTCAATAACACTAGCATGTTGATGTCAACGAATGTCATTGTTGACCATGTTCAGCATTCAGTCTGTTAGCATGCTGACTAATTGGCTAATTAGCACTGAACACAAAGTACAGTTAAAGTTAATGGGAATATAGTTTTGCGGGGATTTGGTCATCAACCAAAGATGATGATTTTAAACCTGGAAAACCATTGATATCTGTACCAAATGTATATCAATTAATCTGATGGTTGTTGAGATAATTCAGCCAAACTGCTTGCATGGCTAAAAGTAGCACCTTAAAAAGGAGAGATGCCTGTCTGAAGCATATAAAGACCCATTTGTTTTTTAAAGTGTTAAGTGACATAAAACTAAGTTTCCTCTTACTCTTGCTCTTGTGCAGGGTGATCTTGGTGATGACGCTGAAGTCTCCTTTCTCAGGCATACAGTTAGACATGTTGAGGTAGAAGTTCCCGTTGACCGTGATCTCACTGACTGCCTTTTCGTCCTCCCTGCGGCTGTACTCCTCCTCCAGGCGGCCGACTCTCTGCACCCTGATGTTGGTGTGGCGGTTGCTGCACTTGGGCTGGCTCAGTTTGGCGAACATCAGGTGAGCCTCCATTCTCGGAGGAACAGAGACGATCCAGGAGACGGTGGAGTAAGACTTCATTCCTACTGGCCAGCCAGGAGTAGCCAAAAGGACAGGAGTGTCTCTCTTTGGAGACACTGTGAATATGTATCTTTCTGCATATGAAAGAGAAAGAGTATTAAATATCACTGAAAACTGCTTTTATTGATCTACATTTATTTAAGCTGCTTGTTACCTGATATCCCCTCTTTGAAAAAGGCCTCCATCAGCACAGTCTTTGAAAGAGTCCTCAGTGATTTACCCCCCATCCCGGACACAGTGACGGTCATGTTGGTGTGGATTTGGACCTTCTGTATGGCTCCTGGGGTGCAGAAGTGTCCGATTGTAGTGCCGTGGTCTTCTGACAATTTAAAGACGATGCTGTTGTTGCACTGCTGCCCAGGTAGGGACTGCTTTAGGGGCCCAAAGGAAGAGGTGAGCTCCACAGTGCCGTGCTGAGGAGGACGAAGGGTCCAGGTCACGCTGCTCAGAGGGGCCAGGAGGCAGGGAGGCAGCAAGGGCACCGACAGACGGGCAGGGGTCTTTGGGCAGTCTTTCAGTACACTACACTCTGATATGAAAGAGAGAGAGATAAACCTTTATTGCTCCCCGTAGGGAAATTCAGGTGTTTAAGCAGCAACAGGAACACAGGACAGGTAAGAGTTTACACAAGGATAAATACAAAATTAAGAATGTGAATAACAGTATAAATAAAATATCAACAATAGAATCAGTGAAGCTGTTTACATAGACAATATGAGTAAGAAGGGTTTAGAAATTAGAAATAATGTCTGCCTTCAAAAGGTCCAGCCTGAAAAAGGTCAACTCACCCAGATAACCAAAAAAAGTATTTAAACTTATTACGACTTATTTAAAAAAACGTAGAAACTGTCTGTACGAGAACTGTCAACAGTGACTCATCTAGATTAAGACGGACACTGTTTCTGTAAAACAATGCTGACCGAGTACCCAAAAAAAAATGCCATTCCAGATCTAGATCTAGATTAAGACGGACACTGTTTCTGTAAAACAATGCTGACTGAGTACCAAAAACAAATTCCAATCATTCCAGTATTTTGGGGTGGAGACAGACACTTATCTTAAAAGTAAACTCAAACAGCATTCCACCGAACCCCTAAGGCCAAATTAAATGAGGCAGTTATTTTATTTAAGTAACTTAAAAGTCAATGACATGTACAATATAACTGTGAAAAGACTATGAGGTTAACTACTTGCTGTATGTTAGACTTAATAATAATAATAAAACATTTAATTTATATAGCGCTTCTCATCTGCCAAGACAAATCTTGAAGCGCTTCCATTATTTAATTCGACATCAGATCCAAATACTTCTCAATAACTATAACTTATAACAGAGGCACTGATGAAGACAAGGAGTCTATTTTTGTTTGTCGTGAGATTTTTTTGAGCCCAAATGCTCAAAGAATACATTTAGAATATCATTTCACCTAAGGAGAGAGAGCCTTGGTTTGTTCTGCATCACTTAATACCAAGCAAGACTTACTGGTTCCTGTTTGCAATACTTTGACATGCCCTACTAAAGAGCACATACTGGATCAACCATCAGAGCCATGCACCGCTTCCTTCTTCCATTGAAAAAAAAAACGATAGCACATTTTTTGGGTCAGGGCATTATGTTATTTTAGCCACAGAGAGACTGTTTTCAGCCTTGATCTATGTTGGGATATAATATATTAATCCAAATAGGGTGAGTTATAAAAACCTATTTTGCAAACCCCGAGAAGCCTCCACTGAACACTTAAATCAGGGTTTACCTATGGTTTTCGTGGCGGTGACTTGTACGTCTTCGGGAAAGCAGTCCTGGAAAGTGAGCTCACTCTTCGATGTGACCGTGATTTTCTCCTTAAGCACAGAGTTTACTCTCATCTGGCAGACAGAGGCCGGTCTCAACTTCTCGATGTGAAGAGAAAGGCCCCCCATTCTGCTCAGATCCACTTTACATGACACTACAGAATAAAGAAAAATCAGATATTAGTATTACTCCTGTTTCCTTTTCCCTCACGCACAACCACACAAATGCAAATGTGTGGACATGTGCATTTCAAATCACAACCAAGTTGATACAGGAATTACAATTTCGATTTGACTGATAGAGTTCTATGTAATTCCCGGATCATTGAAGGAAGTGTTTCCCAATAATGAACCACTTATGTCATGACTCAGCGATGAGGCAATCTTAGAGCTCCCCTAACCTGACACCCGAGGGCTTGAATAAACACCACGGGGCCCACTCTCCACGTCACGTTTTGTTACTCATCCACACTAAGCCTGTGGCTAAAACATGGAAGATGTATTTGTCCTCTGACTGATAAAAGTTCACCCCTGTGGTAAAGATAATAACGAAATAGAAATGAAAGACTATTTATATTCAGTAGTCTCTTGCCTGCTACAACATGAAGAGGAGACTCTCCCAACACTTAACTCCCTGTTGCTCCTGGGCCCAAAAACTGCTTTCTTTTCAGTTATACATTGACAAACGAAAAGTTGATCAACACCATTTTTCATTTTCTTTTTCAGGCATGATACACTCGCTGAATCTAAGTCTAAACGTTGTCTCTTTTAACCGCCTTCCAACAGCTAAAGGAAAAATGTGTCTCTTTAGCTTCAAATGCTCCCTGTTGGTGAGCAGGTAGTGTAAAGTGTTTCTCTAGAGCTTTATATCCCCAAACAGAGGCCTAATGTGATCAGAAAGCAGCTATGAGACGTGAGAGTTAACAGAAATGTTTTATCTAGGGGCTTAAAAACTAAAGAAAAGGATAAAAAGGATAAAAATGATGAAAGCGCTCCCTGGAGATGAAAAGTTGGGTTATAAAGAGTGGATTTGTCATTGCAAGCTAAATCTTTCAAATTATACATAGCCATTTGAACTACTGTTAATATATAAATTAATTAATAGAGCAGCTTTACATTTCAGGTAAATCATTTTTTCCTCATAAAACTATCCTCAGAAAAAACCCCTAGATCTCAGTTTTTTTTCTAGATATAGTGTGTATACAAACAACATTCTTTAAGATCTTCATTATGGACAAAAACTACTTTTCTCTGGCTCAAGGTCTAGCTCCCACTCTCACAAATGTTTGGAACACATTACTTATTATTTTTAGAGATAGAAATACATAACTATCGTGGCAGTGGTAAAAAGTCAAAACTGATGCACAAACCTGTTAATCCTGTTCTTGAAGACGACACCCTGAGGTTCAGCAACAGTCCAGGAGAAGCAGCACTTCTTATGTCCATCTCACAGTTCCTCAGCGTCAGGGTGAAGTCTCCCTGATTCTGTTCTGGCTGGGGGTCCGACAGACTCAGCACCATCGCCCCTCTCCCTTTGCTGTGGTACTCCACCGCTGTCTCCTTCTTCAGACAACGCGGCTTTGTGACATTTAAAAACTGAAGGGCCGTTCTGTGTTTGTCCGGTACTTGAAAGTACCACTGCATCACGTCGTCATCGGGAAAACTATCAGGGTAGTTTGGCGAGAGCAGCTCTAAGGACGAGGTCCCTTTTGGAATCATCACTGTAATTTTGGTGAGGGCTGTAAGAGAGAAAAATATACAAACTCAAGTATTGGACACATAAAGCATAAGAAATTATTCAGACTCCAAAATGTAAACTCACATTTGATTTCCTCCCCAACAGACACGTCAAACTGGCCATTTTGCAGCTTCTGTCCTGCTGGGACGTCCAGAGAAAAGCTACCTTGATTCAGAATCTGAGCACAGACAACAGGCCCCGTCCTGCAGTATTTCCCGACGGCCACATTTCCTGAAGTCTGGAAGGCCTGGAGATTGTAGCTGTGTCCATCTGGACAGCTGTCAGAGGGATTTATCTGTCTTAGACCCGTGTTGCTGAAGTCTATTTTAACTGCTTTTGGCGCAGAGGCATTCAGGTTCCAGATGAACTTGCGATTAAAATCCAGCAAAGGAAGAGAGCCGGTGTCAGCCTGGATGATGTGGCCAGTGCACAACTTTGTGGTACATTCTGAGAGGAGATAGTCAAAAATAAATTGTTAGACCTGCAAGAAAATTAGATTTGCTTAAAATAAAATAATAATTTGAATTGGCTCTTTTACTGCAGTACTATATTTACCTATATTTCGCGCAATTTCTACGCTGAACACATCTTGAGGTCGAGAGCACTCAAACTCCACAGAGACGGGAGTGTTTTCTTTTAACACAACGGATAAACCACATTGTCGTAGGCGTCCTGCCCAGGTGCAGACTTTGCAACCTTTGACCTGACTACTGCTGATGCTGAGAGTGGTGCCTCTGTCAGGGGCGATGGACAGCTTTAGGACCCCTGGACAATAAAACAAATAGAAAATGTGATTAGGAGAAAAGGGAGGAGTGTATATAGAGACACTAGATGTAAACTGCTGATTACATGAAATATCACAATGAAATAACCACTTAGATGTAAATGAATATCATATTATAAAGATGTATTGAGAATTGTTGAATACATGCTTCTATTAAGTGTTAACAAAGCCCTAATGACTAACTGTGTTGAGAGATGAGGCAGACAGCTTAGCTTCACTCCCTCTATGAGTAACATGGACTGTGCTGAACAAACACAGCCATGTTCACACACAGCAGCCCTTTGCATCAACTCCCTATTGTCCCATATATCTCGCTTTACACTCTATTATGTATCTTTATATAAATCTATTTCTGAAGTGGAAAAAATACAGACATGTTATTTAACCTGACACATGATGATGAGGTTTCTGTTGAACAAACAACAGAAAAACCCACCAGTCACAACAATAGCTTCACACTGCCCTTCCTTTTTCATTTTGTCCTCATCCTGATCCTGCTATACAACTTCATTTACTGTGACACAACTAATCCTAGTCATTCTGGTTCCAACAATTAATCACCAGCCATATTACCAGTTATCACGCACAATAATAACAGCTTTGCCTTTGACATAGTTCATAATAAAGTTGATTGGGAATTAAATGTTTTCCCCTACATTCATTGTCCTAGTCTGAGGAAAAATAGTATACCACAGCAGATTTTCTGTCCTGCTGGTTAATAATTGAGCTGTAACTCACCTGAAACAGTGGCTGTGACGAAGGTGAGAAGAAAAAACCGAAGCGTGACTCTTGTTGATGACATGCTGTCCGAAACTGTTTTTCTATTAGATCCGGGGGGAAATCAGCGCACATCTGCGCATATTTCATTTCTTCTCCACAGCTGCGACCTTCATGCGCCACATTTTCGTTTAGGTTTAGCTCAGCTTGTAGTTTACTCAACTGCTCCACTTCCTGTATGTGTGAGTGTGTCCGCAGCTGAAGCAACAGGTAATGGAAAGGCGTGGCTGAGTCAGCCATTTTGGCAGGTACAGAGTTGCATGCCTAACTTCATTAAAGAAAACTCAACTAAAAAGCCTCCTAAATCCCTACAGTTTAGTTATTTATTTTGAATATATTTCAAATATTGGTATTTGCAATAAAAAATACGAAAAAATATACATTCATAATAAATAATACAGTGCATGGATAAAACACATTACGCATTACTCAAGTAGGCTACTGTACTTATAATGTTTAGCCACTTGTAATTAAGCATTAATATTTGTTCTGCTACTTTTACCCCACTACGTTGTGGAGACCTGTATAGTCCTATTTCACTTGACTACATTAGTTCAACAGCTAGCTACTCTGCAAATTTACACCATTAATACAAAATCCACTCATGTCAAAGTTATTGCACTTTTGCTACATTAAGATGCAAATCCTTCTTTACCCATTTTTACTTGTTATAGGGTATTTTTAAACTGTGGTAATGCTTCTTCCACCAATGATACATAAATGACAACAAAGTGTTACTTTTATTATAATAGTATATAATTATAGCCTATAAATAGCCTAGTAGTACCATGGTATTTAGTACCGCAGGCTCAACATGAACTTGTGACTGAATATATTCAAAGTACAAAAGTATTAGAAATGTTTTTCTAATGTCACTTATCGTTATTCAGATTATACACTAGCCAACACTCCATGTGCCAAATTAGTAGGTACTCTACCAAAGAAATAACGTAATCTAATACAACAATCCTGCAATAAACCTTACTTTCTTGATGGTTATAAAGTTGATTCAGCTGTGTAATAATTATCTGATGTTGTACTGCAGCTTGTGCTAATATTGAAGCATTTTTCTCAGCCCTGCTTACAATCCTAATGAAGGGAGGATTTATTGTATTGCTGTGTTAGAATACATTGGTCATAACTAGATGCACCTTATAGCAAGCTTGTGATTTTATAGGAATCAAATGATCAATGAGCTGTATTTTAAAAACATTTAAAAATCCACTTTGAATAGATCATCTTCACAGGCTAGTATCTCAAATAAAAGTAATTTGTAATGGGAAAGCCACATAAATATATACTAATACCAAACAAATGAAGGTAAAATAGAGAGGAGTGGGGACAGAGAGCTGACCTCAGCCTGATGGACTTTACTAAAAAGAGTTGACAAACTTTGCAAATTGATTAGATGTTATGAGTTTCTGTACCAACAAAACCTGGGCATTAGCTGAACCAGCAACATTAAAATGCTGCTAGTTATGCATCAATACTTTAACACTCTGAAAAGAAGCCATTGTCAGAAGAAGTACTTTATCATTGATATTGAAGTACTGTTAATAATTCAACATCTGCAGTTAAGAAATAAACAGCAAACAAAATGTATATTTGAGTTGTATAAGTCATATAGGCAGGCATTTAAACAATTTATGAGATAATAAAATAATATGGGTCAATAGAGTCTATTATTTGTGCATTTTGCACTTCAAAGTAACATTTCAAGGTAACACATTTCTGAGCAGTGCAACACAGCTCAACAGCACCACAAACTTCATCTTAAAAAATGATCAAACAGCTGAATCAACAGCTCTCTGAAACATTAGGACCTTCCTCAAGGTATCGTTTTATAAGCTGCATTAGTTTGAGCTTGGTGTAAAAACTGGCAACTGAGTGTATGTTTTCCAAAGACTTTGCCTTTGTTCACATGCAATGTTCACTTAAACTCAGTGTGAAGTCAATTTGATAGGGCCACAGAAAACAGTTTAGAGAGAATCTGAGATAGCCTATAATCAATTTTATTTTAATTGAAACCATTGGAACATGGATACAAATAAACACGCATATTGATATTATAAACCTACCAATGTTATTATTGAAACCCTCTCTATTTCAAGATACAACATCTATTTGGGGAAATTAAAACTAATACATGAACTTTGAACATGACTAGTGGTTATATATGTGACGGCACACTTTAAAGTTCAGGTTTCAGTGCAAAGGTCCTACACATGGGATAAGGCAAAAACTTTCTAGAAAGATTGAAAACTATACAAACACTGTTTAAAGAGAAAAGTTTGCACAGTTTACGTTGACATTATATATAGGAAGGCCTACAAGGGTATACAAAACACATTGGTGTTGGTCCCAGTATAGATCACTAATGGCTAGTAGGCTATAATCCATCATACTTTACCTTGTAATGTGGAGGAGCTCTAAATTAGTTAAAAAACACCCCAAAACTAAAGCATCTGATCAAAAATGTCTCAGTAGCTCCTCCATCATTCTTTCAGGTGAACAGTTCAATGGCTACAGTTATAGAATAGGCAGCACAGGCTAATTATAATAAAGATTATGTTCAATTATCTCGGTCTCCTCTGCTCCATCCCATTGGGCAGAAACCCTGCAATGATGGGGACTGGCCATATGAGAGCAGCAACACTCCACACAATGATGACCAAAGTCATGAAACAAGCCACAAGTGTCGACTCGATGGGCTTTCTGTTCAGCCTCCAACTTTTGTCCCCCTTCAGTTCGTCGAGGCTGAAATCCACGCAGCAGAAAGTGACCTGACCCCCCGCCTGCTGGCCCCTCGACCTGCCCTGGCCGAATCTCCGGTACCGGGACATCCCGCAGCCCACGCACAGCCGCAGCTCCTGCTGAACCCCGGTGATACCGAGATGCTCGATGACGACGGGCGAGATTGCCCTGTTGAACGCCGCGGAGAAAAAAGCCCTTCCGTGGTTGTTGATGGTGTAGATGAGCACATCACACTGGAAGCCGAAGCTGCTGTCCCAGCGGGCCACGAGCGAGGTGGGCAGCAGCCTCTGCACGCTCACGTTGCACTGGGACACCGGCTGCAGGGAGGAGGCGTCGGGCGAGGCGTCGGGGGAGGCGTCGCTCTCCTCCACGGACCTCTTGGAGAAGCGCACGTCCACCTCCAGGTTGGTCAGGAACCTGTTGGAGGAGTTGGTGGGCGGCAGGAGGAGTTCTTCGTCGCTCCAGCCCTGGCATCGCTGGAGAAGTCCGGCCACTGCGGTGAGAGCCAGCAGGAGAGTCGGGGAGTCGTTCAGCATGGCCCAGGGCGCGTCTCTCCTGCTCGCATGGTGCTGTGGCAATTCGCAGGCGACGGACAATGCACTCCAATGTTTGGACCAGCCAGTCGCCAGTGGTCTTTAATAACGCAGCTCCCGATGGAGAAACTCAATCCCCTGTCTTACTGGTATGAAGGGAGCCGTCCAATGCCTATCACACGCGCGCTTCCCCCTCCCTCCCTCCCTTCGGATATTTTCCTCCTGACTTGTTCGCTAAATTTACAGCAGAAGCACGCTGGGCAGCACCGCGCGCTGCCTTCATCACAGCTCGAGCTCAACTGAGCTTGGCCCACCTCTTTGTCACTTCAGGTGTGAGCGCTGAGCAGGAAAACAAAGAGGAATGGCGAGGGGAGTGCGCAGGGACAGAAGTTCAACACACATCTTCCAATCAGCAACACACACACACACACACACACACACACACACACACACACACACACACACACACACACACACACACACACATGGTCAATGCAACTTTCTCAATGCTGGAATGAATGATTCGAGAAATAAATCCTTATTCGTCCTTTCACTATCGAGATAAGACTGTAACTAAAATAACACTTAATTGCCCACAGAGATGAACCTGTGGTACCTTTTTAGGTTATACGTTTTTTTTTTTTAAATGCATTCAACTGATCTGTAATATTTCTATAAATAGATGATGCCATCACAAAGATCTAAATGTTGTTTCTAAACCTGCATTGGGATGAATGCATGGTGGGAAAGCAGTGAATCCTTCATCTATGTGATTATTTTGTTAGCTTGAAATTAATCAAATTTAAACATGTTGACATAAAAGATATTGGAATTACCAAACTAAATATACCCACTTTATGTACTTTCTTAGCTGAGCAGCCCCAGGTGGATAAGGGCATGAGTTCAGTGACCTAGTGGGTAGACAGCCCTTTAATCTATTGTAGAAAAAATATATAAAGTATATAAATGCTTAACACATTTTTTTATTTTGTGAAATACTATTTAAATGTATGAGCTCTGACATCCCTAATAACATGAGAGACATGATGTGATTTCAGGTAACAAAGGTTACATCAGTGACTTTCACCATTGTGATTGAGCCAAACGATCAGAAGTTAATCTGCATCCCACGTAGGAGAGATTACCTTTGGGACCTTTAACATTCACTGAGCGCGGCATGTCAGTGATTTAGCAACCCCACCGGACCAGTAGGGGCTTACGTGTCTTGCCCAAGAGCACCTCAGAAGTGGTGATGAAGCAAGGGCAAGTTGCTCTTTCCCTTTCACATCAACATTTGTCCTACTAAGCTGTAGTTATTAGTCTAACTGCACACATGTTTCCCTCCATTCAGTGATTTACAAAAATGCAAGGATATTTTTTATGCCAAATATCACCACTATAAAATCTGACATTTGTATTTTTCAATTAGTTGTGATGAAATCAACTCTTGTCTGGGCTGTTTAACCAGAAGGTAACAAAGCAGTTCACATAAATACTTTGCCTATAAGTGCACATGTGAGGTTAGGCCATTGTTCTACTTTGTATGTGGCAGCTATAGTTACTTTACAGATCCAGATTATTAAAATAAGGTATACATCAAATATTAAAAGGTCATAGATTATGATAGATTTAAAGTATCCCCCAGTTATAAACCCAAACACATTAATGCATCAGTTAATGTTACTCAATAATATATTATTCTGAAATGGACCTGCAAATTGAGTGCAATTTAAATACTGAAAGTTTGCTTATTTATATATTTTTGCAGTATTTCTAATTTTTGTTCAAAGTAAGTTATCCTACCACGACCGTGGATTCATAAATTACTATGGTTACTTACCGTGACATACTTTGTGAGATTTTGTATATAGATACACTTTGTATGTAAGTGTTATATCAGGCATGTATAAGAAATAATCTCTGAGGTAAACCCAACAATCGGTGTGTAATCCAGGTCCTTGTTTGTTCATCTGCTCTCCTCGCTGAGAGCTCTCTGTACGTTGCTGTTTGTTTCTCTGTTGTGCACTCAGGGGCAGCGAGACCCATCAATAAACATGTTCCTCCTCTGAGCTGCAGCAGCAGGGGTTTGTTCACAGTGGCTGTCACCTGGCTGCTGTATCTGAAGAGGACACACTCACCGTCCCTCAACCTCTTTGTGTTTTGGATCCAACGCTCTGTAACAAGCAGCAAATCTGATTACATTAACAGCTGGGGACACAGCTGTAGTTAATCTCAATTGTGTGTAGTTTTAATAAAAGTTTAAGCATTGAACACCTGGACCATTTTGGCAACAAGTTTTTCAAGCTGTGGCCACCCGGTGAGCCAGCTTTGGCCGGAATCTCACTGAGCTCAAAGTCCACCCTGGATCCTAAAAAACACTTTTATACACTCAGGCTCAAACCTTTTAAATTGTTTAGGTGTTGCTCTCCTCTCTTTTTAGAGACACTATCACCTCCTCCTAAAATCATTTAATAAGAAAGTGTCATTGGTTTTAAGATATCAATACCTGATATCAAGAACAATAGACTAAACACAATCAGCAAAAAAAAGCCAACAACTACACAAACAGCAAGATATGAACAAAATAATCCTAAAAATGCTTTACATTTCATTTAGCTGATGTTTCTATTCAAAGCTTCTTGCAATTCAATACAAACTACAAGAGTCCTGTAAGTATATTACAATATGCCAAATCACTGTAAGTGCTGTGCGTTCGTTTAAAATGAGCCAGACCGTTCTAAGTGCTACATACAGAAGTTAAAAACGTTTTTTCCCTTTTTTTACATCAAGCTTTAACATCTCCAAGCGAAAGGTCAGACTCTAATTTGAGGGCAGTTTGTAGTTCATTGCCAACATTAGTGTGTACATCAGGGATATGTAAAGTTAAGTAATTTCTGGATTGGAATTATTAAATGTATATGAGACAAGAAGCCGTAGGTATTCTGGGAGCTTCAATAGAGCTTTATAGATGAGTAACATGAGATGGCTTTAGATGTCCATCACTTAATTGTCCATGCATCCTGATTCTGGTAAACACAGTTTCAAGATTGAAATAGCTTTTAACCAGGAAACAGTTATGCCTTTTACCAGAATACTCCTCCTGACACTGTATAAATAATGCATCAGGAAAGATAATAAGCTATTAACAGAACGAGGTCATTGACCAGAGGCAAAATCATAATTAATTTTTTCTTTCATCTTTGCAGGCTCCAAAATACGAATGCTACTTGTATGAATTGTTTTCTTCTGCGCTGTTTAAATGAGGTAATTTACTCCAGAAGCTCCTGAGGTGTATTTGATGTGAAGTGAAAGACGCTTTGGTGTCAATTTGCACCTGAAAGCCCTCATCCCCATGTCTCCGTTTGATGATAACAGTCAACATTTTATTTAAAAACAATCATGTAGTTGTACGGATCTCTTTCTGCGCAAACAGACATCTCTCAGGTGCTGAAAAACAATCCCAGTCGTTGCCAAAAGCCAGGCTCTTCACATCAGATATGCTCTAGTCTAGACAGTGTACTAGTGAGCAGAGCAAGAACATGTAAATGACTTTCTTGTTCATTAATTATGCTATAAAAATGTAAATTGCTTTGGTGACAAAAATGCAAATTGGACTAAGATAAAAGTCTCTAGTGCCAAAAGAGAATGTATGAAAGATTTATTTTTCTTAAAATGTATCTCTTTATTCAGAAAACTGAAAGAAGGGGCTTCTAGTGGCTCTGTGGATCAGACACCCTTAGTCGAACCCCACACCTCACACACACACCACTGACTTCATTACAAGCTGAGGGTTCGGGTACGTATATCCTCAAAGACACCATTTTCAAGCTGGTCTTTTTAGATCTGAATCCCCTGCCTTTCTCCTGGCGTCCTGTCACACACCAATCACTGCCAGGACTCATCACCACGGCAACAAAACAGGCAGTTTTCCTAGAAGCAGAGAAGCATCAGTGTTGATAACAATAAAAAAACTAATAACATCATCATCATCGCTGTTATTGTCATGTTCGGTGCCATTGCCAAGAATATTGCAGGCACAATTATTCATGACAGCGTTGTGTTCAGGTTCTGTCTATCAAAAGAAATCCACATCCACTCTGTCTATTAAAATGAATCACACACCACAGAGTCTCTTCTTCTCTAATTTCTCTTATAAAGGAATAATAAAGTTCAAGCATTAGTTGGATCCTAGCACTGTAGCACAGAAGGATCATAAATTAAAGAAGTGGATTTGATGTATTTATTCAATCCAGACCTTCGGGCCTCATCAACACCTGCAAAACAAACCAGATCACTTATAGGATAAAGTACTCATCTATATTTAACTTATTTCACACATTACACCTTTCGCACTTCTTTGGCCTGTTGATGTGTTTCTTCTGATTATTTTTCTCTTGTGAGTCCAAGCTTTATGGAAGTGCAATGCTTAATCACTATTAGCAATATTATGATGTAAAAATACTTGTAAAAAAAATCCTGTAATGAAAATATTAAGACATATTACCAGCGCAATGTTTTTTAATTTGAAAGCGTTTTTGTTTCCTTTAGAAATGAAGTTTAAACTAGATGTCAAATAAGTTACAGCACAGTGGTAGCTCCCTTAAATATAGTGGATTACAAATATATGACACACACTGTTCACATACCTAAAAAACGACGTAAGAAAATAAAGATTTCAGACTGTGTGGACTGACATTAAAGGTCATCAAATACCAATTTGCTAAGTATGATGGTAGACACTACAACCCACTTTATTATAATGCCCCTTAAAAATCCTACATTTTTTCCTAAACGAATGAAAATGGATTATGGCTCAGCCTTTAACACAATACGTCCTCAGATCCTGTTACACAAGCAGAAACAGAGGGAGGTGAACCCTTATATTGTGGAATATAGTATCATGCATTTTCCATAGGAAATAACAATGTAATATAAAGTTACTGAAAACAGATTCAGACGCTTTATAGAAGTTCAGAGATAGAAGAGTTTATGCAGTGGTGTGAGGGGCATAACCGAATGTTAAACACAAAAAAAAGAACGATATGGTCTTGATCATAGGTCTGTTGGTGAACCACAGCACAATTGTCAGTGTGGAGAGAGTTGAAGAGGTTACAACGTCGTACAAGTAGGTATTTACCGTGATTCACAGTTATGGGCTCATCAAGTGGAGTATGCTTTGCAAATCTGCAGTATAATGTCTGCTTTTCTGTGAAGGCTCGTGTTACTTAGATTGGATACAAATATTTTATGGGCAGCCTTTGAATGTATTATTCTTTATGTCTTCACATCAGTGTTTCGTAACCTGTCTGTTAAATCCAAATCACAACTCCT